CCGAGAAATTATATGCAGTTTACGATAAAAAGCGTTATTTTGAATATTATGTATATTATTATTCACTTAAACAATAATATTAATATTGTCATTATTATTACGAAATGATTATGTTTATTCATTCCATTCATGTTCATGTTTTTAAGTTGTTTATAAACAAAGTCTCATTTGAAAAAAAATCTCGAAATTCCCGCCATTAGTTGCATATTTCTTAAGATTTTTGGAATCCAAAAACTAGTTAGGATCGCGGGATCCCGGAATTGTATTCTCTAATCGGAACACTCATCTATGAAACCTCTCTGAACAACGCTCATGTTACTACAAAGTAACAAATGGCGTAAAATATATAATATTTTACGAAAGATCGAACATTCTTTATACAGACCAGCTGTCCTAATACCTTTTGAGCAATACTGTATGCGATATACGGAGATTTTTGCGAGTGACTGTGCACGAATCTTGTTTTAATTATGTCCGCGAGATCAATTGTCACTGAAATTACGTCCATTTGCAATGAAAAACACAGGCACAGTTCCCCCCCCCCCTCCCCCACTCCAGTATAACGGCCCGATACTGTATCAGGAGACATTAAACACCCTTAACTCACGTTTCGCGGAAGATATATCCCCGTTTCCGGTCGCGCCATTAATCCCCGTGCCCAATACGGGCTTTCGACGGCGGGCACAACGGTCTTGCCGGTCGCCTATCGGGGAACAGGGCAGCACGGGCTCGCGTGTACGACCAGAAACGATCTACAAGCGTGTGGTTATCTACGCATAGATCTTTCGCGCAGTTTCATTCCTCCGGTGTCTCGTTACGTGTCACGATACGCGGTAGAGTAACGTTGTACGCCTCGAATGCAGACGGTTCGCCGTGCGGGGAATTGAAATTGTTGCAACGCACAGGCGTTTATAGGGCACCGTAATTTTAAAAGCTCCGCGCCCCACGGCGGACAGGTTCATAACGTGGGCCAACCCGCGATTTCCCTCGACTTCATTCCGTCCGTGTTCTTCGTTCAAACGTTTTTGGGAACCTCTCTGTTATGGAATAACGCGAGTTAATATTTATTTAGTTTTTCGAGGTGACTCGGACTTGACCCTCGAATGGTAAGGTGGGGTCGGTTCCGACCGACCTATTTTTTGCTATTTTCAAACGTGTGAAAAATGTTATTATCTTGAACTTGTATTTTTATTTGATTTATACACTAAAGCATAATAATTGAGTCGTGTAACGTGTAATGATGTATGTATTGAACGTGTGGTGAATAACAAAAAATATTTTAAAGCGAGGATAATAAATAAAGTAATAAGAAATAGAGTGGGGACAGTACAAGAGGAACTAAAATCTTCTTAGGAAAATGAAGATTTAAATAAAATTTAATGATATTTATATATTACAATGAACATAATAAGTTATTATAATAACTTACATGTTTATAAATTAATGCTTGAATTTCTAAAACTGCATAAACATCCGCAGTCTAGTTATTAGATCCCCAAGTTTCGATCACCGTAAATCACAGCGAAGCCACGGAGAAGTAAGATGTTTACAAGAGAACGTTAGCACGGCGAGCATCGTTAGCCTAAATCCATCCACCTACACAGCTCTAATCCCCGTAATGCCTCCTAACCGATTATTATGCCACCCGATCCGCACAAACGATCCCTGTTTGGTGTATCAACATGTACCTGGGCTGCGATTGGTGGATCGACGCCCTTGCATCGGCGGCAGTTGCACTTTATTTATGCACTCCGTTAAGTCGAAGCCTCGAGGGATTCTGCCGCGACCTAATTTATGCGCCCCGGCGTGTACGGATAACCGATGCATCATTCTCATTGTCCCCCCTACCCGTCGAATTAGGCGAATCCGGCGGACCTGTCGAAGTGTCCCGTTGCCGCGACAACGGAGGAATTCTGACGGGATCCAGATACAAAAAGTATTCGTACACCCTTTAAAACAGAACAACTCTTTCAAAATTGGACCAAGTGACTTGAGTTTCTTTGCGAAGTTAAAAGGATTAGTGTACTAAATGATGTGTTAACAGAATGTTGAAAACGTTGCAATTGGTCGGAATCGCGGAGAAAATAGTAAAGGTCGCTTCTTGCGTCTTTTTGATCTGAGATTGTAAGAAAAATTTAACGAATACATTGCTTAGATTTATGTTAGTCATATAGAGTAAGCGACATTGTTTCCCATCCTTGGATAGGAACCGGACGATTCATGCGTCGCTGGTGCGTGTCGCCGATGACGTAACTTTTATTCGCTGGTTCCTTCGAATAAATTCTTATTCGCTGATTCCTTTGAATAAATTCTTATTTGAATAAATTCGGTTTATTCGCAACTTTTATTCGAAGATTATTCGAATAAAATTTTATTCGAAAAATATATTGGAATTTGAATTCGAATAAAATTTTATTCGAAAAATTATTGGAATTTGAACACGAATAAAATTTCATTCGAATAACGCCCAATTCTGGATCATGGCAATATAGTTAGAGTTCACTGTACTCTTCGATGGGGCATACAACCCACGTTTCGAAACACTGGTTTATACGCAAGGATTTGCTTGCGCAAACATGAATCCACAAGTCAGTTTGCGCAAACTATTCGAACGTGTGAACGAGCCTTAAAGAGTAGCTACCAGTGCCAACAGACGAATGATACACGTGCAGAAAGAACCGAGTGACACGTAACGAAAAGGCAGAAAAACCCGCCAGTCTAACGGCGTTTTTATTTTGATCGTGCTTTTCGTGGCTGTTCTCCGATCGTCCGAACGAAAAGAATTCCTCCTACGACGCGAACCAAGAGACGAGACAAGAAGAAACGACGCTAGGGGGTTGGTGAAGGCGAGACAAAAAAGTTAATCGATGGAATTCCACGATTTTTCGTCGATATTCTCGAATCGTTCGCGTGCGTCAGAGCGTTCCGCGAGAAAGTTAAAAGGGAACTTTCGTACAAAAGGACGAGACCGTAGGCAGCAGGAAGAATTCCGGCAACGTTCCGCCGTCTCCCACGGAAGAGTTATGGCCCGGGGGACACGAAGAAACACGGCATGCATTCGCGAGTAAACTCCCCCTTTCCGTATAATAGAGCTGCATTGTAACGGCGCTTGGATAATTTTCGGTGAAATTTTTCGAAACACTGAAATTGTCACCGATTCCAGGTCAAAAAAGTGCGTGAGATTGGAGTGGGACGGGGGGGTATAATGGAACAGGAAAGAAAATTGCTTCCCGTTTCTGCGCTTAATAAAACTATCGAAACAAAAATGGCAGATATAATGGATCTCGAAAAAAAAATGGTCTGCCATTGAACGACCGAACAACAGCGATGTCGATGAAAAATTGTCTACCGGGGAGTTAATTAAAGGCGTGAAACAAGATCCGAAATATTGCGTGGCTTCTTTTGTCGGGTGTCCGATGAACGGGGTCGATAGGAAGGATGCTTTTGTTTTTAGTTGGAGTTAATCGGAGGTTTGATATTAAAGCTGTAATTGAAATGGGAGATTCGACGGAGGAGAATGTAGTTTAATTATTCGAACGTTTCTGTTAATTGGTCGTTTTGTGAGAAAGCGGATGAAGTCGATTACGATTTTTCGATGGGGCTCTTAACGTTCCCCTTCGGGGTATGAAGTACCCTTGGTTGCTCTTTCAATTTTATTTCCTTTATTTCCATTAATATCAAATTAAAGAACAGCAAAATATCTCGATCGATATGCTCTTTCTCGGGTGTTATTTTTAATGAAAATAAACACATGGTTTGCGCTATAAAATTGAATATGTCAACGTATCTCGTTATAGAGGAATGGCCAATTTTTGAGAAACAAAAAAGAAAATCAGCCTTAAATATAAACTCAGCACCATTTACGAGCGGTTCACAGAATTTACATTAACGACGTACTAAAATCGTATTTAGAATGCAGATATTTATGCATTTATAGCGTCCCATGACTTCCAGAACGTAGTAAAATAAAGATTATTATTAATTCTTTCAATGTTTCTGTCGAGTAGCTCTTCATGAAAAGATGGTATTCTTTTGTTTACCGATAAGTATACTCGTCATAGCTTACGAATAATTAACACGTTCCCTGCCGCGTGGGGCGTATACGCCCCACGCTGAACTTTCCGTTCAAGCCATTTGGTATTATCATTGTAAAATGAAGAATTTTTTAAAAATTCATTATGGAGTCAATTATGGACATCTTAATACTATTGCTGATGCCCTCATTTAATCGTGGGGCGTATACGCCCCACGCGGCGTGATGGGCAATTTTTCTTTACTGTGACTTGTTTTAACCGCATTTCTCTTATTCCGATCAGTCATTTATTCGCGTGTCGTTGATACAATACCCAGTCGGCAAGAAACTGCACTGTAAAAGTTGTAACATTCTGCGATAGTTGTGTGGATAAACCACACTTATGTTTGCCATGTTTTAACAAAGTTCATCGTAACATCCCTTTGTAATTGCATACAAACTTGAATTTAACTAAAATGTTATATTTTAAATTGATATAGGCATGATAAAAAAAATTATATGTGAGGATGCCACTCGCTTGGCATAATAATGTTCAGCCAGTTATTTGTTAAACTAATTCCTAGAAAAATAAATTTATTGGTTTGTTGTGTTATGCATGTTAAACTATACAACCTTTCCTTGATAATTATGATTTTTGCACTATTTTAATTATTGTAAGGCATACGCCAGAAACAAAATAATACAAATGTAAAGCGTGGGGCGTATACGCCCCATGCGGCTTGAACGGGAAGTCTTCAAAAAACGGTCTGGCAGGGAACGTGTTAAGCACGCAAATGCACGCTTTCAAGATCAAATAAAGCACTTAAAGGTTAACATATTGACACCCACAGTACAGAAATACATTTCTTTGCAACCTTGTTTTTCCTATATTAGTGTAAAAAATTGTAAATTTCCATAAACATCTGCAGTCTAATCATGATAATTGCATTTACATACCTCACATACGTTTGTTTCGATTTACTTCCAGCTCCGAAATAGGATATGCCGGTTCGCCGCCAAGAGAGGTGCTCACGCGGGGCAGGAGCATAGACTCTGTGGACAGGCCTTTTCATCCGAGCGAGTGGGTCGACGTGAACCTCGAAGTGCCGAGCACGCCGAGGCCGAGCTCGGCCCTCACGAATCTGACCGTCGACACGAGCCTCTATCCCGCCACCACGCCGACGTCGAGCTGTAAGCCCGCAATTTATCGTTAGCTCGTACCACCAACCAGTATCCTTAACGAGAACACGCTCGTCCCGACGTGCCGGCTGATAACGCCACCCTGGTACCGGGGGGGGTGGGATGTTTCTCCGTGTTTTGCAAATAAGCGGCCGACTGGATCCATGAAACAAAAAAAAATAAAAAAAAAAATCGGAATGTGTTTCGTCAAAAGCGGGGTGAAACTTTCGGGACGGGCATTCGGGAGGGATCTTCAGTTGGCACGTTTCCGCGGAGAAGAAACAGGGGCCGTGGTTTCGTTAGTTTATTATCTTCGCGGGCAACGTAAATCTGGGTAAGTGCTGAGTGAAATGCCGTGGGCCGTTGCCAAAAATTTTCGATTTGAAGAATGGATATTGCCCTTTTTTTAAAGGATTAATTGGAATTTAGGTGGTTGACACAAGTGGTATGATGTTAGAGAGACTAGATATAAGCGGTCTGAGATCGCGTAGATAGTACCGGACTCGAAAGACTTGTAGAAGATACCAGATCCAAGAGACGGGATACGGACGGTTCCAAACTCGGGAGACCCGAAGTAGATGATAACAGATCCGAGAGATCCGATATAGACGGTACTAGAATCAAATGATCCGATACAGATGGTCCCCGATTAGGTACTCAATATAGGGAGACATCATGACTCTTGAAACCCCCAAGGCCGTTAAGTCCTCTGGGTCTAGGAGACTCCCTTGAGACTCAAAAGTCTTGGGAGCTTGACCCTCATCTTTCTCTTGGACAACGGAGATCCCAGACACCCCTGAGACCCTTGGAACCCCAGAGATCCCCACTCTCCAGGCTTTAGAAACACCAGACACCTACTCCCACATCCCAGAGACCCCAAAGACCCCCTGGAGAATGGTCTCCAGACCGCTGGAATCACAGAGACCTCCGAGATCCTTCGATTCCTTGAGACCCCTGAGACCTCTGGGACATTCTAAACACTCAGAATTCCTTGGATTCCCAGGTTCGCGTCTAGAAATATCTGACTCGGGTTAGTCCAGTCTACCACTCGTCTTTTACTATCTTAAACTCAATACCCAAGCTGCAGCAAGACTAAATTCAGTGGCGATGAATTCATTTGTGGTTCATCGCGCCTCCCAGGGGATGAGATCGTGCGAACCCTGCCACACCTCTACTAAAGACCGGCTAACAAGGCCTCCCCATCTACCTCATTGGTGCTTCCTCCTTGGGGATGGGGGATGGTAGCTTAAAAATGGGTAAACAGAGGAGGGGTTGTTCCTGAGATATTCGGGACGTAGGCAGGTCATTGGGGGTTGCAATAGACGATCTAGCTCTCTCTCGATGATGATGATACGACGATCATACCCCCATTTGTACAGGCTCGGCCTGTGGGTGAAGAAAGAGTGAGCTGATACTAACCTAACCAGAGATGAAAGATGTGCGATTCTCTGACGTTCGACTCCATAGCACATAAACTTAGGTAGTTATAGGCCGTCCTAATGATTCTCCAACCCCTGACAAGTACACCTGACCATTCATGTGGCTCGGGCGTTAAAAGTTGAGACGTGTGGAAAGAGTCAGAATTAAAATACCCCAGGTAACATCACTCTCAGACCCTTGGGTCCATATAAAGGCTAGGAATTTCAACGCTCTGCTCATGGTCTCGGAAGGGGTACCGAAACCCCCTTCCCCATGTGACCCTGTGTTCACTAATCCAGTCTACAGCGATCTAAACTAAGTTTCTAGAAGGTAAAAAAATCTCTGCCCCATCGAACAGGCTCGAATCTGAAGGACGCCACGCCGGTACCGCCGCCCCGTCGAAAAAAGAGGAACAAGGGCAGGCCCCTGCCACCGAAACCGGACGAGATCGCCGAGTCGTCGCCGGGTAATTCGAAGCGCGCTGAGACAGGCGACGAGCCGTTGTACTCGTCGGTTAGGTCGCCGAAAAGCAGCGGGGACGAGCAGGACGCGGATGAGGAGGCCAAGCCGGACGATGTTACGCCGCAAGTGGACCCGGGACGCGAGGGAAGAAGGACGAAGGAGATTTATGAACACAAGGCGAGTGTACATCTCCCGGATCTCCATTGTAAATTTCGAACTCGATATTCAACGGGAATATTTACCACTAGACGTAAAACGCGCCGCGATTGAGGGAACAGAAGGGAGCCGGGTGAAACGTCCGTGCTGCGAATCTGTGAAACAAATATCATCCGACATTAAAACATATTTACGAATCCCGCGAGTCTCTCTCTACTGGGTGGAATACGGTGTTTGTTATGCGGCTGGTTACGCGAAACGACGGTGCTCGTGAAAAATAGCGTTCTTTGTTTTTTTCTTGTCGACGTCGAGCTCGACGGAAGAGGAATTCTTTTTGTTACCAAATGGCGCCGTTAAATATTGTTCTTACGTATTCCGTTCGGCTTATTGCCGCGTACGTTACTGTCCCAGTGACAAATGGTTTGTGATGGTTTAATTAATGTTATTATGTGTTCGGGATATTCATTTTATTGTGCGGGGGATCGAATTTTGTTAGAGCCACTATACGAGAGATATTGTCGTTTGTGTATCCAGGTTCTTGTGTTAAATCATTTTTAATTAATAATTGTCCGTTAGAAATATGCAGAGAAAAATAAACTTGCATTATGTAATTTTAGAAAATACAGTTAACACAGTGAGATCCTAAATTTGTGGAGGTGGCTCTAGTAATTTGATCACCCACTGTATATCCTATCGCTGGTTTGGTTTGATAGTAATACAACTAGAAAAACAAATTTTTTGCCTTTGTTGCATAAATAAAATTCTCAAATGTAGTGCTTTCCTATTTAATCTAATTGAGTGTAGTTGCAATACGAATTATAACATATAATGAGATCAATATTCAAATATTAGTCAATTAGAATTTTTTAAATGCTTCCCTTGCAAAGTTTAAATTTTTCAAGTTATGCCCCTATCAAAGCAAATCAGTGATATAATAGGCAGTAACGTTACGATTTTAAATACATTTTATAAACATTAAGTAGACGTATATGCTTCATTATACCATTTTTATTCTGGTTCGTGTCGTCCTTTTTCATCATCACTTTAACCCGCACTCGGATTTCCAAATTTAGAAGGTTCTATAGATCCATTATTTCTGGAAATTGTAAGTGCAAACGAATTTGCTTTGGAACATTTAAAAACTTAATGAAATAATAAAGGATTACATAAATTTTCGTGTAATTATATCAACATATATTAAAGCGTGCTTACTTTGAATATCTTTGGACACACACCGTGGCCCCTATAATCCGAAGAAGGGTTAAATTAAAATATACACAATTCTCATAACAAATTGTCATGTCACCATATTCCACTTTGAGTTCGTATTACTTATCGAAAACTATTTTCACAAATCCTTCTGGATCCTCCTCCTCTGAAACCTCAAATACAGTAAATCATCGATAAGTGTTCGAAGACTCCTCGACACCGAGTGTTCAGACGTCATCCCCACTATTGGATGTTTGATTGGTTCCATGGGGATCCTCCAGTGGCGGGGATGACGTTCGAACACTCATCCATGACTTACTGTACACCTCAATTTACAACAGCTCACAAAATGTTCCTTTTCTATTCTTAACTGACACTCGATTGAAATTTCCAGACATAAGTGTACACTGACATACAAGTTCGACTTCCGCTAAGGGAAAAAATGGCGTAGGGAAAAGGCCTCCTACCACTTGGTATCGGGAATTACTAAAATTTAACCAAATTAACATTTAGTTCAGCATTTATTTCAGTACTTAAAATAAATTTACCAAGTGGTAGGAGGCCCTTCTACGCCACATTTTCCCCTAGCGGAAGCTAAGTTTGCTCCTAAGGATACATCCTATGGTTCCTAATGTAAAAACAATCTCTTAATAATTAAAACATCAATATCCTTCAACCGTCAGTAAAACCGTTTCGACCTACCTCGCTACCAGATTCTAATGAATTCCACGGAATTTCCGGGAACAGGTTAACGGCACCGGAAGGATAATATCGAGCGACGTGGTGTCTGGCAAGAGAGCGTCCCACATCGAGGACCGGAAGTCCGGCAGGACGGTGGAGAGCGACCATCATCATCGCAGGGCTCCAGAGGCCGAGGAATACGACAGATTCGCTAGGAGCAGAACGACCAAGGACTCGTCGACTCCTAATCGCGAGGAGAAATGGGCATCGAAGGAGGCTGGGAAACGGATCGTGGATACCTCGAGGGACACGGAGAAGTCGACCAGTGGCGCGAGGACTAAGAACTACAGCACCGTCAGTCTGCCGAATTACGACGAGCTGGACGTGACCAGGCATTTGGCGAAGGGGGCGAAGGGGGGACAGGCTGACGGGGACAGAACAAAGTCCAGGAGACCCGTCAGGAGCAGCACTGGATCCCTTCCGGCTGAATCTTTCCTCGCGCCCTTCTCCGAGGTAGGGCGACTTCTCTGATCTCGCTTCGATGATTCGAAGGGTTCGACTGGATTTTGGTATATTGTTCCTTTTAGTATCATGAGGATTTAAAAGTTTACTGTTTAGATATCAGTTTAACTCTCGAAGACCAAATTGGGTTATGGTAATTCATAGTGGCAGACTGGGTCTGAAAATATTGGATGTCAGGAGACAATTGGGGCCCACTGACAACTGTAATTTGTTTATTTCTTTAGAAAATAGTAAGAAAGCGTTAATTTTTGTTGTATACAGTCAGAATATGGAACTTCTGTTTTATTTTTAAGTTACTAAAAGGTCATTACCGGTTTTGACACATTGTCTGATTAAGAGGGCCCACTTGCCATGGGACTAACTGATATCCTGGTCAGTTCGTCCGAAAGATACCTGGCATTTCTGAATGGGAAAGGGTGGGAAGTTAGGGCTGTAGTGATTTATCAAAACATTTGTGATTAAATTACTTATACAGGGTGGCCTATTTAAAGAAACCCACTCGAATATCTCTGAAACTATTGTCGATATTGAAAAATGTTTCTGGAAAAAATTAAATGGTACCTATCAGGGGGCACACTTTCTAATGTGAGTAACATTTTTCTATGTGAGGTCATTTTTCTCTGTAGAGGTCATACGAAGGTTAACTGCATGTTTTCAAATGGAATCGTATATTTTTTAAAGCACTATTTGAAGCTACTCGGTATTCCCCATACAAAGTACTAAGTTAGTTATGGCGAATTAGTGCATTAAATAATATAAGATTCCATTTAAAAAAACAAAGTTGACCTTCATATGACCTCTACGAGTGCACATAGAAAACAGTTACACCAGAAAGTGTACACCCTGACACCATTTAACTTCTGTCTGAAATATTTTCTAATATCGTCAAGTTTCGGAAAATTCGAGTAGGTCGATTTAAATGGGACACCCTGTATATTTGAGATACAGGCGAAAGAACGGTCTAGGTTACGCTACCCGTGTGTGGTCAAAACGATAGGAAAATATAGTGTGGTTTTTGAGAGTTAACGATTTGAAAGTTTAGTATGTAAAAAAGACTTCAATTTGCGAATTATATTTGCAAATCCACGAAAACCTTGAAAATGCAGCAGTTTCGTGACGTAAGATAAAGCACGAATTTATTCTGACCCGCAGAAAACGAGCGTTCGGCTGGAGGATTACATACCGAGGCGTGGAAGTCCAGACAACCTGCCAGAGTATCAGGTCTTAGAGAAGCTGGATTGTGGGCCGAACGATGTGGTCGACGCCGATTTCGTCAAGTACGATCCGAGTAAATCGGAGGACTGGGATCTGGAAGACGGCGTCGATAATTGCGAATTGAATCACGAAGCGCGACTCTCTTTCGAGGTAAACTATCGAGTGGTTTTTAAAAGTAAGATGGTATAAAAGTAAGTGGTTTTTAAAAGGTAGCAATCTAGCAGTAAGATGATCAATAGATTCCAGATTTTATGCATTTATGACATACCTTATTATTATTGAAAATTCTATGGACTAAGAAGTTTAAGAAAGTTTAATTAAATGTTCAGCCTCCTCTGCTGGTCAATAAAGAATTACTTTGGGCTTGAATAAAATTCGTAATATGTATATATATTTATGCAAGTTATTGGTGTTAAATAAATTTACAAATTTCTATAGTAAACAATATAATTAAAAATGGAACATTGGCTTCGTGTCCAATTGTCCCAAACAGTGTACGAGAGTTAATGCAATCTTATTTGAAACTTGATACAACCCTTACTTCGGTAAACAAATTTCTTTTCCACTTTGGTCTCTATAAATTAATTCAAAACGTTCTGTGAATTAGCAGAAACTTCCGCAGTGTATTAATTATTGCTCAAGGACTAATATGATGTATACATTTGTGACATGTATCACACGTATTGTTCTTCTGTAATCTTTTTGTCAAGCCACAAGCACATTATTATTTATTCATTTCTCTAGGTTAAATCAAGATTTTATTTTCTACATTTGAAGTTTCTACCGTGCTATAACTCACAGTTGTAGAATTGTTCGAGACTCGAGTTCAACTATCAGAAATTTCACAAACATCTGAAATATTGGTTTCAATTAAAATATTTATTAACCTGACTGCAATTTTAAAAAATGCAACCCACTCGCCTCTACACACCGTTTCACTCTCGAAACCTAATTAACAAACCATTTTTGCACCGTCACGGGTTTCTCTACCCGCGCAGCTACACCGTACTAGCATTTCGCGAAACTTTTCCAATGGTCTGCGTGCAAGAATTTTTTCATTAAAATGGATCACACTGGCTAATAGGCAGAAGATTCAAGAAAGTTTTCTGTTTCATCAGGACTCCCCGAGCAGGAGCAACGGGAAGGAATCGAGCAAGGATGAGGATGTTGTCGATTTTGTACGGAGATCTCCGATCGATCTGCAGGACGCAGGATCGCCAGTCTGTTTGCAGAAGCCCGAGGCTTTCGGAAAAACGCCATCTCCGTCGTTCGGAGGGACGGAATATTCTGAAGTGAATCCAAATAGGTCGGTAGAGATTATCCCGTGGTCGATGTACGGGCGATTAACTTGGATTTAATTGGGCCGTGCGGATGCCAAGTGGTGTAAGCCCATATTCCAATGTTTACGGTGACTATCTCTACCTTGCTCTGTCTCTCTGAAGGTCACTTTTTCTTATCAGAATGGTTTGCAGAACAGACATTGTTTACGAAATTTCGTTTCTGAGGATTGAAACAATATTATGATAGACCTTCGACCCTATTTATTGTCTTTGGATTCACACCACTTAACTCCGACTACCTCGTTAGAATTTGTTGGAAAGATCAATTTCCTCAGCATTTCCTAAAATTTATCCATCCTCGATTAATTAACAAATAAATGAAATCTGATCGATACAAGTAATGCAGGAGATAATGTAGACTAAGCGAATTGTAAATTATCTACGAGAGAAAGAAGTTTGAAAAATAAGAACGGAAAAATAGTAATTGCGGAAAATTTTTTTGTTATTAGAATCTTCTTGTCTGTCATTTGATAATAATAAATAATCGACAAATTTTTGGAAAGGAATATTCAGTAACTCACAGAAGATACTATATTAATGGAATCCCAATGGTCATTCAAATACACATCTTGATTTTTTTAATTTAATCGAAATTCTTGGAAATTCCTTGAAGTTCGTCGAAATTCCTCAGAATTCATTTAAATTGCTTGAAATTCCTTAAACTTCTTTAAAATTCCTTGAAAATCAATGAAAATCCTTTAAATTCCTTGAAATTCTTCAGACTTCCTTGAAATTGCTTGAAATTCCTCGAAATTCCTCAGAATTGATTTAAATTGCTTGAAATTCCTTAAACTTCTTTAAAATTCCTTGAAAATCAATGAAAATCCTTTAAATTCCTTGAAATTCTTCAGACTTCCTTGAAATTGCTTGAAATTCCTCGAAATTCCTCAGAACTTGTTGGAATTGCTTGAAATTCCTTAAAAACCCTTTAAATTCCTCGAAATTCCTTAGAATTCATTAAAATTGCTTGAATTCCATAAACATCCATAAAACTCCTTGAAATTCCTTGAAATGCTTTAAAAATCCTTAAAATTCTTAATCGTAAAATTTTCCACTAATGGTGACAACTGTTTCTTTACAATGTATCCTTTTCTTAGGTCTCACTTGAGGTACTTCGATCCACCCACGCTAGAGGACAGCTGCAGAGATTCGACTGCCTGCGACATTTCCGCCTCCAAAGAACCGTTTTTCCTGGACGAGGCGAAACATCGTTCCGCTTTAGGTAAACATTTCCAAAAGTCAGGAGATCACAGTGTCTTTGTCACCATTAACATTTCCTTTCCACCTTCAATTCTCGACGGCATTTTCGCCTCGGATAACCTACTTCCAATAACCACTTCCTGTGTTATTGTAATTCTATATTCTATTAACCAAATCTATACGTGTAAATACTGTTTTTATTCCACTATTCCAAAATCTCATGAACAAAAGATCTTTCGACCCATTAAACACAGTAACAAACTTACACAAAAACTGCACACGATGAACGGAACCACCTGTATAACCTTATAAATATTCGTTCAATCGAAACTCGCACGCGAACATTCTGTCCTCCAATGGAAAATTCAGGCCATTCTCCGTACAATACGACATTCGCCATAAACCTGTAACATAATCCATCAAAGTGCACAAGAACATAACTTCCAAACGTTCCACCGACTACCAATACACTCCAACCTTCATAAATCCCGATTCTGCGTCACACGCGCCCCTAGAGCCCGTAAACTCGCCTGAAGAGAGAAATTAGTCGGTCCAGTCGCGGCAATATGACCGCCCCGACGTGTCCTTGGCCTCCGTTTAAGCGGTCATCCCGTTCGCTTCAGGGCTAGGGTATAAAATAATCCTATCCTAACGCAACGGTAGCCAACTATCTGCGCGCGTGACTAGTTAAACCATGGACGTTCCATTTCCCAGATACGATCGTGGGGGACGGAAGGCAGACGGGGACCGATCGATCGGACCAAACCAGAACGATCTTCGGTAGGCGACTGTCGAACGAGAGCGAGCCGGACAATGACGCGTACGAATCCAAGGAGTTGGCAACCGGTCGCCCGGCAAGCCTGATCAGAACGATATCCGAGGAATCATTGCCGCGTGAGATGCTCGAGCAGCAGGTGATGGAAGAGTTCTTCGACGAGAAACTGGCCAAAGACACTCACAACAAGCTAAGAAAATGCCTGGACGACCATATGACCAAGACACCTCCACCTAGTCCTGAGCCCAGGATCAAGCCTGAGATCCTGGACAACGATCACTCGACACTGCTGAAGGTCCTCAAAGATGACGCTGCGGATGAGAGCAACGTGAGCTCGATGACGCCCAGTTTGACCGAGTTGGAAGCTGCGTTGTCGGACATGCTGGAGCAAGAGGAACCACATGAAGGTGTCAAAGACAGAGAAGGCAAGATGAACAATGGGGGCTCTGTGAAGCTACCACTACCTGTAGGGTCTGGATCGAGGATGGACATGGCTGGAGCTAACTTGGGCCAACAGATCACGGGGACCTCAGACGATCATAGCCAGAAAGAGGGTTCCGTGTCGCTCGGGCAGATCCTGGAGACCAGGAAGCCGATTACCAACAGGAAGGTCTCGTTCTGCGCCTGGGAAGAGACGCTCATGAAGGCGGAGGATGATCGTGAATTCATCGAACGTCCGACGGATTTAGATAAGGACACCGTTTCTCATCCGAACGACGTGGCGTGGGGCGTTGGGGGCGCGGCTTGCGCTACCGATCTGCCACCTGAGAAACCGAGCCGGCTGAACAGAAATCTCGAGGACTTGATGGAGAATCCAGGTGACGTGCCCACACCGCCTCGCAGGAGGCACAGGACCATAGGGAAGAGGGAACTTGAGGTGGCTCAGAATGGCTCGGCGATGATTGAACAGTTCACGAACGACAGGCTTATCTGATGATCTCTTCAATTATTCTGTTCTGATTTCTTGTTGACTACTTAAGAGACTATTGGTGTTCGAAAGGTCTAGAGACTTTTAACGGTGACAATGATTCTGTGCTGATATAGTACCGTATGATGATAGGTGTAGCGATTGTGTCGGAAGTGTTTTGAGACGCTTGAGTCGTCACATGTTTAATGAGTATGCTTGATCCGTCCAGGGATCATACAAAGATGAACGAGTATTTTCCAGCGACCAGTAAGATCGATAGCACAGAGGTTGTTGCAACACGTTTCGATCGTTTTCTCCTTGACGTTAAGTACGTTCCGCGGGACTCGGAAACTTATCGAAGTGATCGCGGGAATTTCTCCGCGCCCAAAGCTTTCTTGCGCCCGAAACTTCCCTAACGAACTCGCCGCTTCTGAAGAAAGGAGGTTCTTCGAAAATCGTGAAACTTCGTCGGTGGAACCCATCGACAGATGTTCACGCGTTGTTCTTGCATCGAGGACGCGTTGTTGTTTGGCTTTGATACGAAACATCGACCGAAGCTGTTGCAAACGGGGCCTGTCGGTGGAAATTACCCTCAGAAATTAACGTTTCGTTCGTGGAAAACATTCCTAATCACGTGCAACGTGTATTACAATTTTTCTTGAGTTCAGTTTTGGAACTTTCTTGCAAGTGAATACGAAGCTACCTCTTAACCGGGGAAGACGAGTTAATTTGTTTTTTTGCTTGACGATGTCTTTCAATAAGCATTCATTTTTTTTCTTCACTGATATTGGTATAAGTTATTAGGTTTTACCACACGAAATTTCCTATATTCTAATAGTTGATAGTCAACAGTGACTAGAGAAATAAATATGATTTAAATTGTTTTTCACATAAATCGGAAGTTATAATATTATTGTGCTTATTCCCTGTCTCGTTTGATTATTGAATTCTTGTTGCGATTTCTCAACTGTCCTATGTAAGTAAACAATGTGGTATCAAAGGAATAATTTCAAATTTTTTTTCGATTTGAATTTAAATTATTTATGGCAAAGTTGGCTGAATTAAATATTAAAATTAAGTTCTGCGTTAGTCACGACATTCACCGGATGATTCCCCAACAGAAAGTCACTTTTTGTGTTTTTGGGAACTTCTTTCAAGAATCAAAACGTTCCCCAATCGAGAATTCGTAGTTGTACAGTTGGTCGAGTTCGTTGAATCTAAAAACGCCAATTTTTCATGAGATTGGAATGGATCAAAATTATTGTTGATCATTATGGTATATATTTCAATCGTATAAAAATCACTTTTTCCAAAATAAACATTTCATTTGTACAACCTAATGCATTCTACTTGCGATTACTGTACGGTAAAATGCATAGGACTGTTCTTATTCTTTTTTATTTGAGGTTATGTCCAGCAGCTAGATATACGCCCGCTCATAAGTATCAGGACACTTACCGAATGTGCAGTAAATGTTACCAGGCAATTACAAAATTACTGAAAGTCTGAAAAAAATATTGTTTACAAGATACTAAAGCTTAACGAACAACGCTTATGTTACTATAAACTAATAGAAATAGTTAGAAATATATAACTTTTGCGAAAAATCATATTTTCTTCATTCAGACCAGGTGTTCTACTACTTATCAGAAAAAAAAATTGCCAAGTGAACAGTGAGCAAGAAACGGTTCAATAAAATAACAATATAAAGTAAACTAATTCATACTGTGTTTTCTCAGTAAAATCCAAAAGCTTCATAGATACGTCGTCATCGACAGTACATCCACGATTCCTTTCATCCTATAGACGTTGCTTAACCTAACCTCTTCTTATTTGTATCCTTACAAGGATAAATAAGGATAAATCCGAAATCTTGCAAAACTGAATAAAGCCGTTTCATAGGACGATTTAAAAATAAGAATTCATTTTCTCCACTTCTGGTTACGTCAGCTTCAACGTACGAATATTTGTCACCGGTTAACAGGTTAATAATTCGCACCCGATAGATCGCATTATTTACGGGAATTTCCATCGACGGTGTCCTCTCGAACCTCCTTAGGTGAAGGCGTTCGAACTTGCCTCCTAATTTCGGATGTGGGAAGTTTGATTTAGCATCGTCTCGAAAAGAGCCACCACCCTTCCCGTGTTCCACAAAATAATTTCATCGCCGCCAGAAAGTTTTCCCCGCGGCGGCGATGGAACGGCCGTTTCGCCAGCGTTATCGCGATCGGATACTCGCCGCGAATACATACGAGCCACGGGAGGACGAGCCGACGTCGTCCACGTCGTCGATTCTTCGGGGGGGAGGGGGGGGGGGTCAGCCTTTGGAATTCAGGAAGCAGCTTGTTCGAAGGAAAAACCGGGACGTGATTGGACGAAGTTTCTCGCCGCATCGGAACGGCGAAGGGTGGCTTTGGTCGTGCCCTTAGAGCAAGATTAATCTCGTTGTCGCTCGGGAAGAAGCTAAGTGCTCGTGACACCAGCGTGCGTGCAGTCGTCTGCGACCTAGGGAGGAGGAGGGGGGGTGAAGAAAAAGGAACAGCTAATTATTCGATCGCTACGGAAACGATCGTGGGCAAAGTATTGTATTTAAGACGATGTTGAATAAACAATGTTGCGTTCGATGATCCCGTTTTTGTGTTCGATTTTATTACTTCCTCCACTCTATGCCTTAGAGTTAACCGTTTCACTACGAATGGCGTATATATACGCCCTCATTCTCATCGAACAATGAAGATTGTCTTCCGTTTAAGAGCACGGGACATCGTGGTTCCAATGGTAAAATTGCGTAACTACAATTTTTGCAAATTTAAATTAAATGCCTGATTCTATTCATTTCTGACATTATTTATTTAACGTAATCTGTTACTATATGGGTTGAGTTACTTAAGATTTTCACCTGAAATATCTCCTTCGTTTTTAATAAGAAAATGTGTTACAGAAACAGAGTTGAGAAAATGTAATCTAATTCCAAAATCCAAATTACAATTACTTTGTATGTTTACGTGTAATTATTTTGCAATTACGTTGCAATTACATAGTAATTGTAATTTACATTTTGTAATTAACTTACATTTTGCCCGACTCAGGAGTACAGGAAGTACGAACATCGTCTTTGTGCGTTAAGATATGCTTTTTGAAGAATAATTCCTCCGAAGGTCGTTTGAAGGTTAACATATCATACAGGGTTGAATTTGTGTTTTCATTAGCTATAACTTGACGCCAATCAATGTATGTTATTTCAGTTAAAAAAAATCGATGATGACCATAAAATATCAGAAAACTTGACCTTGAGAAAAAAAAACTTCTGTATCACAATACTTTTCCCACTGAAGCAAACATTTATTCCATTAAAAATTTTCTCGTATCATTACAAACAACGAAGATAGTTCAGGTGAATTTCTTAGGTAACTCACCCTGTATATTCAAAGACGCCAAAAACAACTATAAATGGCACAGTTAGTCAATAAAATGCATGCATACCGATTCTACATTAATTATTTATCTTCTCTCCTGAAGATTTAATTTTTCCCATAAACTTTATCGAAATACACCATCCACACTGTCGACGTCGTTCGTATGCTGAGCCGTTAATCGAACGACTTCAATCAACATTAGCCGAAAACCATAAGTGATTCCCATAACCGAGAAAAGCTTTCCAGGAAGAATCACTTATCCCATCAAAGCCGCCATAAAAAGACAGCCTATCCCAGGGGTTCCCTGTCGACATTCCCCCGTATACCGATCATTATAATCGGCAACATGGCCGCCGAAAAAAGCGGTCGTTCAAGGCGGTCCGACAGGTTTCGGCTTACCTATTACTTTTTTAATTATCCCACTTCCACCCCCTCTGTGTCGTTACCACAGCGAACGGACCGATCTTAATCGCCTTAAGGGCCGGCGAACGGCCAGGGGAAAACGATCCGAGGCTTCCCGCGGCCTGCTATCCCGCGAACGGAACTTCCTCGGTCTAATTATTTCGTGTTTCATTAACCAGACTATACCTATCTCTCTCTGTCTCTCTTCTTTGCTACGCGGCCGATCGAACCCGGAAAACTTTCGAGATTACAGGCGGCCACCCGCCGTCGCTGGGGATGACTTGCAGGAGGACTTCTGCGAGTCTGGGCTGTTGGCCCACTTTCAAACTAGACCCTCCAAGAGCTTGGATGTTTGTATAGGTAAATTACGGACATGGGGACCAGATGGAGGTAATACCAGCCGATTCTTTGGAAAGAATCGGAAAATTTGGTAGTGTACATCCGGGTGTGTACTGGAATAGGTAATTCGGAAGCGTATTTGAATACTGGAGACAGGGTTTTGCAGACAGGGTTGAGAGAAGTTGAGTATTGAGGGTTTTGGAAGATATGGTTGAAGGTTTGTTGAGAGTACAGGTGGTGCAGAAGTGGTATAGTTGTTCGGGTACAGGTTGCTTGAGGATTCAGGTATGAACGATTCGGTTCGAGCGTTCAAATGGTTGATAGTTTTAAGGGCACACCTGATGGGATCTTCTGCGGTTGCTTAGGGCGTTTTAGGGCTGATAACCTGCACACTGTCTTTGTCCATTACACATGACATTAAACTTATAAGTGGGTTACTAATATCAGAAACATGTTTTACCATAAGTTAAATATAGTAACTATCATGAGATAAAGTCCTGTATAGTGGACAAGGACAGTGAGCAGCTTGAGGGATTTATGTGGTTATAGTAAATGTTGAATAGTCTTGTGATTAATTAGAAAATATTGAGTGTACCAGTTTTGAAATCCACTGTTTTATATTCAAGAACCGGTAAGGTAGTTGGAATTTTCCCTCATTTTTCCTTTTTCAAAATGGCGGACGATACTGGAGATCCAAGATCCATATTATTGAATGTATTGCATATTTCAAATAAATTTTGTATTAATACAAGTGTACCAGTTTGAAATTCATTGTTCTGTTTTTTTAAGAAATGGTAAGGTAGTTTGAATTTGAAATATAACACATTTTTTATAATCTTTTAATCGAGCAACTTCCATCTAGGTTTCATT